TTATATCTATCTATTGTGCCATCTTCTTTTCTTTTAACCTTGTACACCCACTTGCAATCAATGAGATTACTACCATCCTCAGGTGGAACTAGATGCCAGGTTTTATTTTGTTTAGGAGCATCAAACTCACTATCCATGGCTACCTTCCAATCCTTATGTTTTAAAGCCTCTTCTAGACTTTCAGGTTCTCCAGTAGATGTAAAACAACCATACCTGACACAGCCATTAGTATAAACATTGGGCTTGCGCACACCACTTTGTAGCCTAGTGTGTGGTCGAGGGATGTTTGCCGCTGTATCCTCCGCCACAGAGGATCCTGAAACCAGCTCTTCCTCATCAGTGCGCGTACCAGATGGCGAGCTCACAATGGTCGACGCGGCATGCGGTGAGGGAGGTGGCGATGGAGGATTGGGCGACGCTGGTGCAAAGGACGGCGAGGCGAGAGAATTTCCCCCTGCGCTCCACACGTCAGTTGCTGGATCATCGGTCGCGGCAGACGATGATTCTGACGTCGATTCAGCGCCTGTAGCGGAGTCAATAGCAGCCGAATCGGTCTGGTGCTCCGCGGCATCTGTTGCTGCTGATATTTCATGTGAAATCTGCACCGAATCATCAGCAAAACTCGCAGAATTTTCTGCATTAGACATATTTTCAGGCACAGTATTTTGATTAGCATTATTAGGCACATGGTCACCCCCAGAAAAAGGAAGAAAAAGACCGGGAGTAAGATCAATTTCTTTGCGAAGAAGTGCACCAGCATTAGGATGGAGCTTTGCAAAGGGGAACACATTCTCATAAAAAATAACATCCCGAGAAATGTAGATGCGACCGGTGGATACATGTAAACATTTAAATCCTTTGTAGAGACGGCTATAGCCAAGAAACACGCATTGCGTGGATCGGAAGACAAGTTTCTTTGAATTGTAGGGTCTCAAATTAGGCCAACATGCACACCCAAATGTGCGAAGGGAAGCATATTCTGGTTTTTGATGAAAGAGACGCTCTAGGGGCGTATCAAAATTAATCGTCTTGGCCGGAGTACGATTAATAAGATAGGTCGCGGTGCAAAAGGCCTCATCCCAAAACTTTAGTGGCATAGACGCATGAGCAAGCAAGGCTAAACCTACTTCAACAATGTGTCTATGTTTGCGCTCCGCAGCACCATTTTGTTGATGTGCGTGAGGGCAAGAGACCCTGTGAGAGATTCCTATTTTAGTAAAAAAGGAATTTAGTTTTTCATATTCACCACCCCAATCCGTTTGCATAGCAATTATTTTTCGATCTAAAAGCCTCTCAACAAAACTCAGAAATTCTTGAAATTTTTGGAGTACCTCAGACTTGTACTTAAGGAAATATATCCAAGTAAATTTGCTAAAATCATCAATAAAACTCACATAATAGTTCTTTCTGCCAACTGAATCAGTGGCAGGACCCCAGACATCTGAGTACACAAGTTCTAAAGGAACAGAGGAAATACTGCTAGACTTAGGATAGGGTAATTGGTGACTTTTGGCTTGTTGACAAGCATCACACACAGTTTCTTTGTTGGACTCACTAGAACACAAAATATTATGCTTCTTAATGACATGTTGAAGAACAAAAGAGGACGGATGCCCTAGACGACTATGCCACTTTGACGTTGAGGGTTTGATGGCGCCATATGCTTGCTTCCCTGTATCCACGGATCTGGGAGGAAAGGGATAAAGGCCATTCCTACACTTTCCTTGAAGAAGAGGTCTCCTCGTTGTTTTGTCCTTAACCAAAAAGAATTTATCATGAAGTTCCTTTTGGCTTGAGGAACATAAAGGACATCATTAAGATTAAGTGCCCGAATTGAAGTAGGAATCTGGGTGTGACCAATGTGACTAATATGCATACCTGAGCCACTTGTTGTATAGATTTGTTCGCCACCATTGTACCTCTCACGCACGGAGAGCTTGTCTAGCTCGCCGGTGATGTGGTCTGTCGCCGCCATATCTGCATACCAGTTGGTATCGGTGTTGTTGCCATGGATTGCTGCAGCTGCACTTTTCTCCGGAACAAAGTCCTCGTTGTAACGGTACCAGCAGTTGCCCCCCATGTGACCAACTTTGCCGCAAAGCTGGCAAGTTGGACGATTTCCTCACCCGCCACCATTGCTAGGTGGTCTGCCGCCACGGCCACGGTTTCCGCCACCGCGACCGCGACCGTCGCTGCCGCGCCCTTGTTGGTTGCCTCCTCGTCCCCGCGAAGCCACGTTCATGGAGTGTTAGGCCGCCCGACGACTCAGGCGCTCCTCAAAGCTGAGGAGTTGAGTGTATGCGTCGGCGATCGTCACTGCTTCAGTGCGCCCAGTGATCACCGAGACCACCGGGTCGTATTCTTCATCAAGGCCTGCCAAGATGTATGCGACAATCTCCTCGTCGTCCATTGGCTTTCCAGCCGCTGCCATCTCATCACTAAAAGACTTCATCCTGTTAATATAATATGTAATTTTCAGATTACCTTTCCTGGTTGTGGTCATCGCCACACGAGTATTGAAGGATTGTGCCCGCGTCTGGGAGCACAGCATGTTCTCCAGAGTCCTCCAGAGCTCGGCTGCAGTTTCTATTGACACCACCTGTGTCAGGATCTCCCTCGTGAGGGAGGAAAGGAGGTAGCTCAAGACTTGTTGATCTGCAACCACCCACTTGGTGTACTCTAGATTGGTGGCTTTCACCACCTTCTCGCCTTCTTTGACGTCGATGAGACGGGCCGGCGGCGCTGTGGTGCCGTCCAGGTAGCCCATCATCTGTGCGTCGCGAACGGCCGGAAGAACTTGTGTCTTCCAAAGCAGGAAGTTGTTTCTTCCTAGCTTTTCTTCCACCGGTTGGCCGAATGGAGAAGGGGACGCCGTTGCCATGACGGAGGAGCTCGCCATTATCAATCTAGATGAGTTTGAGGAGTAGGCTCTGATACCATGTGGAAGAACTAGATTGATTAGGAAGCGTTATCACCTCCCGTGGGAGGCCGCACGAATATATTGATTGAGCCGGCAAAACGCGGCGAGAGTTACAGGGAGTTTGTTAAATAGGATAAGCAACACAAAAGATAAGAAGATAACCAATCTAATCCTGAAACTTATCTCTACTCTAACAGTGGGGAATCAGAATTCGAAGTCATGGGGGTTCCTGGATAGTGCAGAACTGCACGTGCATGCCCTTAATTAAGACGCCTTCATTTTCTGAAATTTACTGAAACACCAAGCAGTCGGCAACCCAGCTCTGAATTAGAGTCACGAAAGTTTCTCTGTTTTTCTTCCAGATTTTCCTAAAGCAACTTGCCAACTTCTAATATTGGTTGCACATGTTGCTTGAATAAGGTTTAGATGATGAAGAGATTTCTTTGCTCAAGTTGGATGGGGATCTCTTTTAGAGATCTTTGATTTCTACAGTTTTAATACTTCCTCCGTTTCATATTATAAGACTTTCTAGCATTACCCACATTCATATAGATGTTAATGATTTTGTGTCTAGATTCATTAACATCTATATGAATATGGGTAATACTAGAAAGTCTTATAATATGAAACAGATGAAGTAGCATTTTTTCATCATTACAGATGTATTGGGTTCTAGAATTAGCAGTGATGCATTACAGGCAGAGTTTACCCTCTATATTTGTTTGAACCGATGCGTTTTCTGTAAAACTTATTATATTGGGCCTTAGGTGAGGATCATCGTTTTAACTACTATGCATATAACCCCAACTACATGTTTTTGACATCCTTAATGATGGGAATAATAGAGCCCTTGTACTGATTTTATAAGCTGTAGTGATTGTTTCAAACTGCAGATTTAACTACGGACTCACTATTCTTTGCATATTATGATCGGTAATAGAGTACGCTCACTTTTACCCAACTAAATTGAAGTAATATTTATGTTTCTTCCATCTGCTGGTGGTGTTCATATTATTGTTGTTCCAGTCGATTGTGTCAATGAATAATATGGTGACTTTTAATCATCGCATGATTCAAAACCTGAATTTATCTCACGTGTTAATAAAATGGAGAAGGGAACTATTCTTCTTCACTTCCTGGTTCTCGCTGTGTGATCTACTGAATCTTCTTCTCGCATTTTAGTTTGCATCAAGTTCCTTTCGACAAGATTCTATGCCGCGCGGCAAATAATATATGCACCTGTTTTTTGCTGAGATTGTTTTCTTCTCTTCTCTAGCACTTACTGTCACCTTTTTCTTCAGATATTTACATGGGAACAAACTTACTGTAGGAACATGAGTAAATTTAAAATTATGTTATTCGCACTTGTGGGCAAAACGAACCGCAAACGTGTTCTGTATTTCTGTTAATTTATTATACAACCTTTTTCTGTACTGTACACCCCCATATACTTTCATTGTATGCTTCTTACTAACTCTATGCACATGTTAGCGTGCGCGGCGTTACGCCGCCCTTATATTTCTAGTACTACTAGTGTTTTACTAAGGCTGATTCTGAAGGAAACCAGAGAGCAAGTCCACAACAGATGGCTAAGGGTCATCCATATATATCACTTTCCATTAGTTTGGTAAGGCTGTGCCCTTTTCCTCTGTTTGGAGAGAAAGTTCATTAGTTTGGAGAGAGGTTTTTAACGCACGCCAAACGAGAAAGCTCAATAGTCCCACACGTCATTCGCACGTCACTTAGTTTAGTGCAAACTGCAGAGGAGATGAGCTTGTATCTTCATTCTGTGAAATGAGAGTGAGATGCATCAGGGAGCAAATCAAAGGATTGCTGATGCTATGGTGTAGGCCAGTGTGATCCTAGGTAGAACCAGGGAACTACAGAGGGCGAAGATGACCAATGGGTTGGACAATTTTATTTTTATGCGCATAAGAATTCGAGCAGAATTGTCTACGAGAAGATCACTTTGTCAATCAAGCAAAGACCACCAGAATATTCCATGAATAATGATAATCCCTCAATCCTGAAGTAGTAGGCATGTCGGTCTTCTTTTGCTTGGCTCAGTTATATCTGTTCGTTTCCAATGAAGGGCTGTTTCTTTGAGCCACAGTTATCACTGCATGATTCATCTAATACATGAAATTTCGCCACTTGACATGAATTCAGTTCCTGCATGCCCATTCATTCAAACAACCCAATTGCATTCACTATGAATGCAATGGATCATCTTCTAAAGCACAAGATCCTCTTCAGCGATGCGTCTCATCAGTACCATTTCCCACTCCCGTCGTCTAGGCCTCACATTCTGTCATTTATTTGGCATAATGCTAGTATAAACATGCAAAAGAGAGGAACTGATAGGTGGAACCGTGGAAGTGAAACACAACACACTGTAATCAAGTGTTGCTTATTCTTGACTCGCACATCGCCACGTAAATTGCTTCGCACAACTAGTAAAGTAGTGCAGAATAAATAGCTCAAGCAAACACCCCATGCCTCCTCCCTATATACACACTTGGCCCACAATTGAATCAGAAGGAGGGCTTCCTGTGAATCAGCGATACAAAATAGCACATGCAAAGGTTATTCATCACTCAAACAAATACCCTAAACTTTCCATTGGAAGCGGCTGGAAAAAGAACGCGTACCATAAGAATGAGAGGCACTGGGAAAAGAAGAAGCAGCTCCAGGAAATCGTAAAGTTACCGAGAGCATTAGTGCTGTAGTGTTCAGTTCAATTTCATCGCGATGCCGAGTGCCGACATATTTCTCCACTCGGATTAGTGCTCAGCTTAAAACAATAGAAGGACGACTGGATGAAATTGTTTTTGGTTTCCTAAATTGAAAATAGGAAGTGAAAAAACTCCTCCCTCCAACAAATAGCCTAAATTCAATCCCCAAAACTTAAAAGTGGACCCTTCTGTTAAACTACCAACAGAAAATTCTGTTTTTTTATTTCACGCGCAGAAAGATCGCTATCTCCCACGTGCGGGAATGGGAGGAGAGAGGCGGGAGTGCGAGATTGGGAGCGAATTTCACACCTACATATAAACGGAGCGAGGAATCGGGAGAAGGTAACTCCAAAAATCGGGTAGGAGAGTTGGGGATCTGTCGGAGCTGTTTTTTGGACTAAAATCCCTCAAAATCAGTTTTGAGAATTAGATAGGTAGACTGTTGGTGATGCTCTTAGGACGCTACTGCTTATGTGGTGTGGGGTCCCAAGGCCGCTTCTCTGATGGATTCGAGCTGTCTTGATACCTATAAGCTCAAATTGTACGGTGCCATGTTTAGTAGATTGGTGCCGTAAGTAGGTAATAATTTTCTTCAATTCATCAAGAATCACTAGATTACGTTGTATGTGTGTAGTTCGTATATCGAGGATATCTCTCTGTTAATGTGATTTAAACACGAGAGTGTTTCTTTGCAAACAAACGTATGAAATCAGAGTGCAATCCGCAAATTATAAGGTTCAACAAAAAGATCCAATGAAGACATGTACTCCCTCCGTTTCACAATATAAGTCATTCTAGCATTTTCTACATTCATATTGATGTGAATAAATCTAGACATATATATTTATCTAGATTCATTCACATCGATATGAATGTGGGAAATGCTAAAATGACTTACATTGTGAAACGGAGGGACTAGTTAATTTGGGTTCATCATGTTTCCAAGAATTTTGTGATAAATATAAATAAAAATAATTTTCTGAAAAAAACAATCAATAATGATTTCTGTACATGAAACCTATCGATCTATGAGGATAAATAAGGGTGCGTTCAACCGACCAACGTCCTTGAGCTTTTTAGCTGCACAGAAAATGAGGTAAGTATTTAAGATGTGATAAATAAAGTTTTAATTATTAGAAATTTGAAAAAATAATTATTTGATTTTATTTAAAAAACTGTTATATCAAAAGTTCTTTTAAAAACATATCATTTAGCGGATTGGTGAGCATGCTAATAAAACAGGTAACTTGCGATTGCAAAAGGAGAAGAAGAGCAGGGCAGAGATTTAAATCCTCTTGATATCTCCAAATATAACTCTATACATGCACAAAATGGCTTGGTTATGCCCATTAATGATCTCTTACAACTTTTAAGTTATAAAAATAAGATTATTTTTACAGCCCAGAGATAACACCATAAAAATGTGTTTTTTTAAGTAGCCTCAAAAAGAATATGAGTCATCTATTCACACGACACTACGGGACAGATAGTTACTATTGGAAAGAAATTGTATTGCAGATAGCTATTATTGGAAATAAATTGTATTGCATAAGAATACATTTCAAGGAAAAGAGTGAATGCCAAAATCTCGCGACGAGACAAACGAGGCTTGGCGGCACAAAGATAATTTGGTTTTCCTCCATCGACACAAATCACACCACGTGGGCACCCTATCTCCACGCTCGCACAATAACAAATCTACTGACAGGGAAGACAGAGATTGTCAGTTGTCACTGGCCTCCTGTTCCTCTCTTTTAGGAAGAATTGCAGCGAGCACAAATTTAGGGTTTCATCCAATTGAAAGTAACATAATCAAATAATGGTCAAATAGTTCCAGGAAAAATCACAAAAGCTAGAAATGGCAAACACTCAGTTCCCTGTTGAAGTCTGTAGTCTCCTGTGGTGAAAACCTATAGTATAGGATTTGCTGACCGGATCATGGCAGCGGCAACTACCTACACACGGCATTCCCTTTTTAGAGGCCTTTATTACAGTCCAAACATTACTATGTTTGAGTATAATGATAAAGATTGTTTGTGGTTATAACTCGCTACGGCTTGATATCTTTTTGTCACATCATTCTTCCTTGTTTTATAATTATAGATTGTGTACGTTCTAACTATGTAGAGCCTATATTTGGTCCTAGATTAATTATATCATCGATATCTTGATGTTGTTTTCTGAGATTAATAAAAAAATTCATTTATAAATACAATGGATTTTCTTCAAATGCAAAATACATACTATAGAGTGTTGCCCGGCCTACTTAATATCAAGTCTCCATCCACCGACCTCTACGTCCTGTAATAATAAACCATTGAAAGTATGATAGATATGGTTTTCCATTACTTTATAGCCTTCGCATTGTCATCCATCAAGCCTTATATATAGCCAGTGTAATCTATGGATAGAGGGGAACTGGTTGGCATTGTACAACGAGACTAGAATGTACCACAAGTTTGTGACTCATTCCACTTAGCTTGATAAACTGCTTCAATAATATGTCTTGGATTCTAGAGAACTCTAACCGACTTGATTATTCCACCAGCTCGAGGACTTTTGAAAAGCCACAATAAACAGTTAGCACATTGAGGTCAGTTCATTGAAATTAATTAGAAGTCAAATATCCTAGGAATGAGAAGCTCCTGGAAAAGAAATGGTTACTCAAGAGTGACGAGAAGTCACCACGAATACTAGTGCTAGTGTCTTTAGTTCAACTTCATCTATGTCACAACATGTTAGTCAGCTTCCAATTCATGTCACTATAGCTTGGCATTCTCCAATACCTACCTGGAGGAACTTTGTTGTACTAGAGTGCAGTATTAGATCATATTGTCCTCTGAAACGATTTCGTACACAGAACCATACTTCATATATATGTGAAGCCGTACACAACCGTGGGATGGATTTTGATCTGCATATATTTTTCAAGTCAAGATAATCCATATTTCCCTTCAACAAGAGAAGGCAAATGTTATGTGTAGTATGGAATTGTACTCATAGGCGTCCTAATGATTACAACGATATCAATTTGTTAACCATATCGGTTATTACTTACAGAACCTGTGTCGATATGGTGCAAACCTGTTTCGAAGGGTACAATTTGACATGGATTACACAATGTCACATAAACATGTGCATACATGTCCTCCACATAGGGTTGAAAGTTGTCAGAGGCAAAAAGGCTTCTTTTAGATAAGTAACATGAGAATTACATCTCCAGCCTCTAATGCACATAACCAAAAGTTCTAATAATTTAAAAACATGACACATAGCCATAAAAAGGACATGTGTGTACTCCTAATATTGAAGCTTTCGTACCCAAGAAAACAAGGAATACGCAATTAAATCTCCCCAAATCACTAGACGGAGAAATATAAATGGCATGTGACACCCATAACTTTCCATCTTACAATCATATCCATGCAAAGCTGTCCTCAATGTCGTCACATATATTCATAGCGGACTCTCACCTTTCTCTTATGTCTGCATGGTATCCTACTTGCAAGGCCCGTTTAGTTATACAAACTGACACGAATGATTGAGAGCCTAAAAATGCCTCTACAAGACAAAATTAGCAAATACATCTAGTAGATGTCAAGAGTGCCTAAAAAATTTCTTTAACGCAGAACTATTGTAGACGATTTTAAAATTGCCTCTATAACTTGTTAATAGGTTACGGAACTCTATATTTCAATATAGAGATGATTCGAAAATTGTCTCTACTAATGTATCGCTATCGAATATTTTTGTCGTAGTACAACTTCTCATAAATTCTTGGCGTATTCATCCATCAGTTAGAATGATCCATCCGCTTTCATTTTAGATGCACGATATTTTCTGAAAAATATGCAAAACAGAGTCCAGTAGGCTGCTCAAGAAATTGATGCACACCAAGGTATTTCAATTTTCAACTCACAAATAACTCCATCAACGATAGGAAGCTCCCTTTCAGCAACAATAAACCATGCCTCATGTCATTCGCATTGGGCCAGAAGGCAGAGGTCCGTAGGCAGCCCATATTATCAATTAAGTTAGAGATAAGATTATTAGTTAAGTTAGAGATAAAATTAGATTGAATTCTTACTTAAGGGTCAAGCTATACCATCTATCAATTAGTCTAATCTCTCCCTCCCAGTAATGTTCTTCTCTCTAGCATAAATCTACATCCCTTCTCCAGGAGCCGATGCCGCCCGGCTATCTTCCCGGTGGTGTTTATCCTGTCATGGTCTCGGGTCATGACAACTTGGTATCAAAGGCACTCACCATAGCTTCCGATGCCGAACAAGTTCTCCATGTCACTATGAGCAATCTGCTCTATCCAGTGACAGAGGATCTACTCCATCGAGGATTTACATGTATGAGATGGAAACACGTGTGAAAGCTTCGGTTCAATTCCAATCTCATGAGGATGCGGAGTATGGACAAAAAACCTTCCACGGACGCAACTTCTACAATGGCTGCTATCGGATGGATATACATCTTGAGTTTTCATCGCCGGCTGCAATCAGCAGCAACTCCACACTGACAACACCTTTCTCCCTGATAATCGAAGAGTTAAGGACTGACCTGAAAGAATTGGCGGCCACGTTACAGGAAAAGTTGGTGAATGAGGAGGAGAGGCGCACCAGGGAGGCGGGGCTGCCCTTCCGGTGAAGACAGCAAGGACACCGCTGCTTGTGTCACTGTTGCCTCAGTTTTCTCCATTAAAAGCCAGTTCCTCGCAGGAAGAGGAGGCATCACCAACGATAAATGCCACCATCAAGAGGCGTCAACTATTGACCTGATGTTGCATTGCTAGAGTGAAACTGCAAGAGTGGAAGACTGACGTTGTAAAATGAGATCCGGAATACATCTCACAAGTTAGCACTGATTATTCTTGCCTCAAACCAAGCTTGGTATATTTATTTAACCCAGAATAAGTATCTCGACCAAACATCTCATATTTCCTCCATTTTAGTATATATGGTGTGGAATAACTCTCATGAACATATATATTTCTTCCCAAGGTTGCATTATATCGATGGCTTCCGAGAAGCAGCAACTGAACTAGGATGTCAACGTTATTCATCACTCTAAGAAAACATACAACAGGAACGAAAGTCACTCTAAGAAAAAATACAGCAGGAACGAAAGGCACCGGGAAAAGAAGAAGCTGCGAAGGATGGAGCGAGAGTCATTGAAAGCATTAGTGCTGGAGTATTCAGTTCAAGTCCATCTATAGCTTGACATTTTAGTCTGCTTTTTTTTGAACTTTCTGCTAGGTATTGATGCAATCCAGCTTGGTGACAAAGCATACCAGTTACACCATAGAAATTGCTAGTATTATGGAGCACCTTAAACGCGGAAATCTGACGCTGGTATCCTCCTTGAATTCGGGAGAATCAGTAGCTAGGAGAGAAGAGTAAAAAGTTGACTTCTACATGATTGCTAGTCAGAATAGACTATATATGTTCCTCACAAACTGGAGTTCGGACAGAGTCATCACAATTTGAATAATGTGCCCATGGATTTCCCCGTTACTCTCGAAAGGAATTCACAGTTGAAAAACTAACAGAAAAATAGAGATGAACCTACTCAAGCCTCATGCCTATGGGGTTTTATGTCCGATTGCAAAAAGCAATTTGGGCTCCACCGAAATGGTCATATTTCAGAAAAATTGATCAAATTTAACCAAGTTCAGACGAGGACCTCACCGTAAATGCAACTCTATTGCATTCAGAATGAATGCAGGGGATTCTATTCCAGTGCGAAATTCAATGAGTCGAATTTGTTTCTCATGAACTAATGTCCAGTAAATACAATTTTTTAAGTCACAAATCACAGCATCCATCATGCACTCTCATCCATATCGCTTGCCTCCCTGACCTCCCGCTCCCAGCACATTGGCATAGATCCACCCCCTCCAAGACATAGAGAAATTTTCTGGTATTGCACAATGAGAGTGGGATGTATCAGAGAATATAAGAAGGCCATTGAACATCGAAATGTTGGATTCATATGCTCTGTCTTTGGCAGAGGAACGGGAGCAACGGCAAAAATCGCCGTCCTTGTCATCTGACATACAACGGCTGATTCTCACCGCTCCACTTTATCTTCCTCACATCTTCACTTCCGAGATTGATGATAGCACGAGCACTGGGGCCAGCAAAGCATCGATCGAGTAAAAGGCCTCGAGCTATCAGTATCATGTAAAACAGTGAGCCGTGCATGGGACGTGAGATGCAGATAGGCTAATGTAGCATGGATTAAGTATAACTTTAATTTTTGTACTCTATATTTTCCATGTTTCATTTGTTTGGTTTTGGTTTATTCTTGCTCTGTTTTAACTGCAACTCAAACTTTTCTTGTTCGGGGAATTTCCTTTTTGTTATTTAAACTGTAATTACATTAAGTGTCGTATCAGGAATTAGAGTATGGGTGATCCGACTTAGAGAGAAATTGTAAATACTGGAAATGGAACATTGCCAAAATATATCATATAATTAACTAAAAAAATACATAATATAAGTAACTTTAAAATGCATCTTGTTATGTTAATAAGGCATCTTAGAAACATCTAGAAATTAAGAATCTATTAAAAAATGACTCAAAATATTAATAAGGCATCTTAGAAAGATCTAGAAATTAAGAATCTATTAAAAAATGACTTAAAAGCAGCTTATGAAGCTAGAAAAGTTTGACAAAAAAAACCATACTACTTCTTTCCTAAATGTTATTAAAAAGAGATGCAGAATTCTCATCATTCCTCATGTTTTCAATAATCTGCAATACAATACTCCCTCCATCTACTCCATCTATTTTTGATAGTCATATTTCATCCTGGCACACAAACCAAGGATAAGTAATTCTACTTATTATCTATTTAAACATTCTACTAGTTATTCTTCAGCAACAAACGATTCATTAATATTTATATTTATCGATGCCCACGTAGCCAACCTTATGTGGAAGAATAGAGAGAGTCACGGATTAAATCCGAGAAAGTCAATAAGAGAATAGATTATTAGATTGAAATATACCTATCAAAAATATAATTTTCAAAATTAGAAATATGCCTATCAAAAGTAGATAGAGGAAGAGGAAGCATTACATTTTCAGATGATAATGGTCAAAACTAAAATTTTTTTTTAAAAAAACACAAGTCGTATACAAAGACCTAAATACCTTGCTTCCATGCAACTTGCCCGCAGCCCCGCACTTGCACGCCGGCACCAGTCACCTTACCCTACCGTGGGCAGCCGCACTGCACGTTGCCTTCAGCATTTGCCGTCACCGGGAAGTCACGCTCACGCCGGCCGGTAGAATTGTGTGGCTCAGGGCAGGAGGCGGACCGCCGGCCGATTGGAGTTGTCTGGCGGAGAGAGGGGCAGCGTCGTCGCTGTTGCCGGTCTCGGAAAGGGAGCATATGATTAGACACAGCTACTCGTCCGTTGTCGCCGGTCGATCACGCCTCACGAGGTTGGTAGGGGGCGAAGAAGCAGAGTCGGTGAATCGAGATCGTGCTCTCGCAGAAACTAAATTGTAGCGCTTCAGCTTTACCGCACCAGGTTTGTTTTTTTCAAGGATTTAAATAGCCGGCTAAGGCCTTTAGCTGCTAGGGCTTTAAATAGCTAAGATCAGCTATAGCGGGCTATAGCCGCAGCTAAGCCATTTAGCTGTTTTGCAAAAATCATAGGATAAATAGGTCATCACATGAACAAAATAAATAGTTCATCACTAGCAGCTAAAAATAAGACCTCACTGGTGATCTACTGATCTCATATTCCCATTTCAAAGTTCAAACACAACATCAATATGGAATATCAGAAAATCAGAGAAAAGCTTGCCTATCTCTGGCTGGGAGTCTGGGACATGGTGCTCGTGCTGCTTGGGGGAGAGGAGGAGTGGGCCGCTGCCGCCGTAGCCTCCGGGCGCAGCCTCCGCTGTCGCAGCTGTCACCTCCGGGCGAGGCTGCCGCCGCCGTCTCCGGCACAGCCACCGCCGCCACCGTCTCTGGGCACAGCCGTAGCCGCTGCCGCCGTCTCCGGGCACAGCCGCAGCCGCCGTCTCTGGGCGCAGCCCTCAGCCGCTGCTGCCGTCGCCTGTAGTGGATAAGCTGAGTAGAGGGAGTGAGGGAAGAGAGAGACGAGGACTTAGAGTTTTATACATGAGAAAATAGACGGGCCTTGGCCCGTAGCTAATTTCAGCCCAAAACAGCAAAATCACAGCTTAGCTGCCACTAAATGAAGCTAAATTAGCGTCTATTTCCAGCAATCTCCGGCTATTAGCGTCATACGTGATGTAGCGGCAAAGCTGACATTTCTTAGCTGCTGCCTTGTCCAGCAGTGGAGATTTAAATCCTTGGTTTTTTTACAATGCCTACACACATGGGCCTGTGGTCGGCTCATTTTTAGCTTAACGGGGACCACCCGGACCACCCAGTAAATCTGACGGTGATTACAGTTAAACAAAAATTGTTCACACGATAGAATAATTTAGAATAACTTATGCCATTTCTCCTAATGTGATGGTTTGTCGACCCATAAATTCAACCCAATTGCGATCATCACAATAAGGATGCTAACCAAATATACGGTGTTCAGTTCGAGTAACTAGTTCTAAAAAAAATGTTCGAGTAAGTCAATTGTATTTCATTGCAAATGCCATTGAATTTGTGCAAAGCAGCAGATAGAATTCACTGTGCTGCTCAAGGCATTGATGCCCAGTAAATATGAAGTATCAACTCAAGAATCACTAAATCCAGAGATGACCCTTTCCAACAACTATAAAGGAATACATTTCTCATCAATAAAACTTCCAATTCTCGTGTAGCTCTCACATCTTCAATAAACCAAGGCATTTTGGTAACGTAAACGGCAAAAGCTAGAACCTGATGACAGGCATTGTAAAGTTGGAGTGGGATGCATCCCGCGTTACTGCCGCTTGTTCTTGCATCTCATCTCTCTTGGTAGATATTGCTTCACTAATAATTAACCAAAGTAAATAGCTCGGCAAAAGAAAACATTCCATATTTCCTTTGGTTTAATATGGTCTAGAACAACTCTCATGAAATATATACTTCCTCGAACGGTTGCATCAGTTGGAAAGCATCCTGAGTGTTGGGATAGGCGTAGGCTACGATAGTATAAATCAAAATTTTCTATCGCGTAAACCAGGAACCATGCAAGTATTAGATCATAGATCGTTACCACTCGACGCACTGCGCATCGGAAGAAGACGCTGAGAAGTCGAAGAAACTCTTGCGAAGTAGCGCGCGTCGATGTAGAGGAAGTAGTCGATCGCACCGGCTCGATCGTCTCCTCCTCGTGCGTTCTCCTCGCCGCACTCCCACGCCGATCAGCACCACAAACCAGCGGCGCCTCTATCGGTATCCACACGTATAGGGACAGAATGCCACGCACAGATGTGCTAGCACCCGCGCGCGGCTAGGGTTTTGCTCGGGGAGGGAAGTGACGGCTAGGGTTTCTCACGTGATACAATGCCTCCACCGGTCACACCCCTCACGAATATATAGGATCCATCACTCGGGCCTTCAAGGCCCGTAGGACTCCTATTCGGATCCCTATCCGAATTAAGCTCATATTGGATCTCCATTCTATCCCCTTATTCCGGCCCATTAAGCGTGTGACCCTATAGGTTTATGTATACTCGGCTGTAACCCGAAAACTCCTTTTCAGTCCACGCGTCAACAGCGGCCCCTAGCAGAACGTATTGACTCACCGGGCATACATAAAGATCATATCAGCTGAACCTCTAGTGTATACTTGTATGAACCCCTTTGCCACACAATATCGATTAAGCTCA